CTCATGTGTAATGGAAGAGTAGTAAGCTCTTAAGCTCAAAATAAGCATTAAGAGTAAAATTTGTAAAGGTTCCTTGGGCAGAATCATGCTCCCAACAGACCTAGAGGAAAAGAGTACTGATAAAACTATTAATTCAGAGAATTCAGTCCACTCTGTCTGTATTAGCTCTTTGAAAGAACAATCCATTTAGTTATTGATACCAAAAGTTTTATTTTTGAAGTATAAAACAAATTATTTTTTTAAAAGTCCACTGAGCCAGCTTCATTAAGCATAAGGACCTGGCTGCATGCAAAATAATTTAAGGGTAGCACTGATCCCAACATTGTCTGATATTTGACATATGTGACTGCTTCAAGCATCCTGTCTCATTTAATTCACTACTTCAACTTGCAAAAGCACAAAAAGCAATGCTGCATCGCTCAGTGCAGAAATCAATTCAGCCATCACTTTGTTGTAGCTAAAAAGTCTTTACAGTTCAACTTATACTTAAAAATAATAAACCGCATTTCCATCTGACATCTTGCCAATCAGTTTCATCATCCCCAAAAACATATAGATTAAGTAAGAGTACAAAATACAGCAAGTAATCAAACACTTCTACAAATGCCAAAAGCAACTATTTCGCTGAGATTTCTAAAGCTACTTTCAAAATATCACCTGAGATGTGCATTATGTAGTTTTCAAATACTGTTGCTGTATACGGCAAAGGCTCTATCTCATTGTATGCATCTTGACAGCACTTGTGATTTTGCATGAATGTCTCAAAGTGCCACATTCACAAGGACATTCCCCAAGAATCAGAGACTCTGAAAATGCACAAGATCAATAACCAATAACCAAACAGTCATCTGGATACAAAGTTGGCTTGAAGGTAGGAGACAGAGGGTGGTAGTGGAGGATCACTTTTCAGACTGGAGGCCTGTGACCAGCAGTATGGCACAAGGATTGGTGCTGGGTCCACTGCTTTTTGTTATTTATATAAATGATCTGGATGTGACTATAGGAGGTATAGTTAGTAAGTTTGAGGATCACACCAAAAGTAGTGGTGCAATGGTCAGCGAAGAAGGTTATTTCAGGATACAATGGGGCCTTTATCAGATGGGCCGATGTCTAAAGAATGGCAGATGAAGTTTAATTTCGATAAATGTGAGGTATTGCATTTTGGTATGGCAAATCAAAGCAGGACTTATACACTTAATGGTCGGGTCCTGGTGAGTGCTACCAAACGAAGAGACCTTGACGTACAGATTCATAGTTCTTTGAAGGTTGAGTTAGAGGTAGACAGGGAAGTGAAGAAGCCATTTGGTATGCTTGGCTTCATTGGTCAGTGCATCGAGTAAAGGAATTGGGATGTCATATTGTGGCTGTACAGGACATTGGTTAGACCACTTTTGGAATACTACATTCACTTCTGGTCTCCCTGCTATAGGAAAGATGTTGTTAAATTTGAAAAGGTTCAGAAAAGATTTACAAGAATGTTGCTGGAGTTCGAGGGTTTGAACTCTCGGGAGAAGCTGGAGCAATTTTCCCTGGAGCATCAGAGGCTGAAGGGTAAACGTATAGAGGTTTATAAAATCAGAGGTGCACGGTTAGGGTGAATACATAGGCCTTTTCCCAGGGTGGGGAAGTCCAAAACTAGACAGCATAGGTTTAAGGTGAGCGGGCAAGATTTAAAAGGGACCTAAGGGGCAACTTTTTCTTGCACGGCTGGTGTATGTATCGAAATCAGCTGCCAGAGGGAGTGGTGGAAACTGGTGCAACCACAACACTTAAAAGGCACGTGGATGGGTATATGAATAAGATGGCTTTAGAGAAGTATGGGCCAAAAGCTGGAAAACGGGACTAAATTAGTTTAGAATATTGGTCAGCATGGATGGGTTGGGCCAAAGGGTCTGTTTCTGTGCTTTACAACTCTCACTCTAGAATGGTGAAATGAAGTGTTGCAAACATAGCACATACTACACTTATATAGCATCTTTCACAACACCGTAATTCCCTACGGTACTTTGAATTAAATAAACAATTTTTAAGTACAGTCACCCTTTAAACAAGGGAAGTACTTCCCAGGTGACCCAACTAGCTTTCCAAGATATGAAGACTTGATTTCATATCTTGTCTTAAACAGGTGACAAACAAATTTACTCTGAAACGTAGTCATCATTGTTGCGTAAGCAAATGTAGCCAATCTATGCACAGCAAGGACCCACAAGGAGGAATGAGGCAAATAACTTATTTTAGGCTTTCATGGGAAGTAGGCATTGCTGACAAGGTCAGCACTTATTGCTCATCCCCCCAAAAGTCCTTGAAAACTGTTTGTCAAAACGCAAACACATTTCTTTGGATCTCAAGCCACATGTGGACCAAAACAGGTAACTCTGGTAGATTTCCTTCCTTAAATGATAGTAGTGAACAAGGTGGGTCTTTACAACAATCAATAACTTCATTGTTACTATGAATAAGACCAGCTTAAAATTCCAGACCTTATAAATAAAGTTTAGATTCCACCAGAGATAGTAGGAACTGCAGATGCTGGAGAATCCGAGACAACAAGGTGCAGGGCTGGATGAACACAGCAGGCCAAGCAGCATCATAGGAGCAGAGAGGCTGACGTTTCGGGCCTAGACCCTTCATCAGAAAAGGGGGAGGGGAAGGGGGTTTTGAAATAAATAGGGAGAGAGTGGGAGGCGGATAGAAGAGGGGATAGGTGGAGAGGAAACAAACAGGTCGAAGAGGCGGGGATGGGGCCAGGAAAGGTGAGTGTAGGTAGGGAGTTAGGAAGGGGATAGGTCAGTCCAGGGAGGACGGACAGGTCAAGGGGGCGGGATGAGGTTGGTCGGTAGGAGATGGAGGTGCGGCTTGAGGTGGGAGGAGGGGATAGGTGGGAGGAAGAACAGGTTAGGGAGGC